GACTATCTACGCTCGGACTATCTACGCTCGGACTATCTACGCTCGGACTGTCTACGCTCGGACTGTCTACGCTCGGACTATCAATGCTCGGACTATCTACGCTTAGACTATCTACGCTCGGACTATCTACGCTCGGACTATCTACGCTGGGACTATCTGCGCTCGGACTATCTACGCTTGGACTATCTGCGCTCAGACTATCTACGCTCGGACTACTATCTACGCTGGGACTATCTGCGCTCGGACTATCTACGCTCGGACTATCTACGCTCGGACTACTATCTACGCTGGGACTATCTGCGCTCGGACTATCTACGCTCGGACTATCTACGCTTGGACTATCTGCGCTCAGACTATCTACGCTCAGACTATCTACGCTCGGACTATCTACGCTTGGACTATCTGCGCTCAGGCTATCTGTGCTCGGACTATCTACACTGGGACTACTATCTACGCTCGGACTATCTACGCTCGGACTATCTGCGCTCGGACTATCTACGCTCGGACTATCTACGCTCGGATTATCTACGCTCGGACTATCTGTGCTTGGACTATTTACGCTCGGACTATCTATGCTCGGACTATCTACGCTCGGACTACTATCTACGCTGGGACTATCTGCGCTCGGACTATCTACGCTCGAACTATCTACGCTTGGACTATCTGCGCTCAGACTATCTACGCTCGGATTATCTACGCTCGGACTATCTGTGCTCGGACTATCTACGCTCGGACTATCTATGCTCTGACTATCTACGCTCGGACTACTATCTACGCTGGGACTATCTGCGCTCGGACTATCTACGCTCGGACTATCTACGCTTGGACTATCTGCGCTCAGACTATCTACGCTCGGACTACTATCTACGCTGGGACTATCTGCGCTCGGATTATCTACGCTCGGACTATCTACGCTCGGACTACTATCTACGCTGGGACTATCTAGGCTCGGACTATCTACGCTTGGACTATCTGCGCTCAGACTATCTACGCTCAGACTATCTACGCTTGGACTATCTGCGCTCAGACTATCTACGCTCGGACTATCTGCGCTCAGGCTATCTGTGCTCGGACTATCTGTGCTCGGACTATCTACACTGGGACTACTATCTACGCTCGGACTATCAACGCTCGGACTATCTGCGCTCGGACTATCTACGCTCGGACTATCTATGCTCGGATTATCTACGCTCGGACTATCTGTGCTCGGACTATCTACGCTCGGACTATCTACGCTCGGACTATCTGTGCTCGGACTATCTACGCTTGGACTATCTACGCTCGGACTACTATCTACGCTGGGACTATCTGCGCTGGGACTATCTACGCTCGGACTATCTACGCTTGGACTATCTGCGCTCAGACTATCTACGCTCGGACTATCTACGCTTGGACTATCTGTGCTCGGACTATCTACACTGGGACTACTATCTACGCTTGGACTATCTACGCTCGGACTATCTACGCTCGGACTATCTACGCTTGGACTATCTGCGCTCAGACTATCTACGCTCGGATTATCTACGCTCGGACTATCTGTGCTCGGACTATCTACGCTCGGACTATCTATGCTCGGACTATCTACGCTCGGACTACTATCTACGCTGGGACTATCTGCGCTCGGACTATCTACGCTTGGACTATCTGCGCTCAGACTATCTACGCTCGGACTACTATCTACGCTGGGACTATCTGCGCTCGGACTATCTACGCTCGGACTATCTACGCTCGGACTACTATCTACGCTGGGACTATCTGCGCTCGGACTATCTACGCTCGGACTATCTACGCTTGGACTATCTGCGCTCAGACTATCTACGCTCAGACTATCTACGCTTGGACTATCTGCGCTCAGACTATCTACGCTCAGACTATCTACGCTTGGACTATCTGCGCTCAGACTATCTACGCTCGGACTATCTGCGCTCAGGCTATCTGTGCTCGGACTATCTGTGCTCGGACTATCTACACTGGGACTACTATCTACGCTCGGACTATCTACGCTCGGACTATCTGCGCTCGGACTATCTACGCTCGGACTATCTATGCTCGGATTATCTACGCTCGGACTATCTGTGCTCGGACTATCTACGCTCGGACTATCTACGCTCGGACTATCTGTGCTCGGACTATCTACGCTTGGACTATCTACGCTCGGACTATCTACGCTGGGACTATCTGCGCTCGGACTATCTACGCTCGGACTATCTATGCTTGGACTATCTGCGCTCAGACTATCTACGCTCGGACTATCTACGCTTGGACTATCTGTGCTCGGACTATCTACACTGGGACTACTATCTACGCTTGGACTATCTACGCTCGGACTATCTACGCTCGGACTATCTGCGCTCGGACTATCTACGCTCGGACTATCTACGCTCGGACTATCTACGCTCGGATTATCTACGCTCGGACTATCTGTGCTCGGACTATCTACGCTCGGACTATCTATGCTCGGACTATCTATGCTCGGACTATCTACGCTCGGACTATCTACGCTCGGACTATCTGTGCTCGTACTGTCTACGCTCGGACTATCTGTGCTCGGACTATCTACGCTCGGACTATCTGTGCTCGGACTATCTATGCTCGGACTATCTACGCTCGGACTATCTGTGCTCGGACTATCTACGCTCGGACTATCTATGCTCGGACTATCTACGCTCGGACTATCTGTGCTCGTACTGTCTACGCTCGGACTATCTACGCTCGGACTATCTACGCTCGGACTATCTGTGCTCGGACTATCTACGCTCAGACATTTGGACGCGAAACTAGCGGTAATCTTTCAGTCATATATTGTGTTAGCAGTGCGTTGCTTTTGTCCCATTTCATCAGTGATTGTTGTACAGCTTACAAGAAGTTGCGCATATGCTAATGTTAGCATATGTATCAGATCACAAATGGGATGAGAGCGCAGGGGAAATGAGAAGCCTGTGAGCGAGTTGGGGGCGGGGCTAAACATTCAAGCTGAAGAAAATCTGCAGAAACGAGGATAGCTCTAACTTTTTACATCGAAGACCTCAAACCTGTGATTATTTGTCCTTTTCACACTTTGGACTCAAACCTCATCGTGACGTTACTGGAGAACTTTTGATTCATATCCATCTTTACATGTTTTTGGATGGATTTACATAAACAGGGATTTTTTCAACATCTGCTACATCAAAATCTGAATCTGAATTATTTGTATTTCCATTTTGAGCAACAAGAAGTCGCACACTAGGAATTTGCTTTGGTCCCGGTGCAAACAAGTTAAAAAAGTAAGAATAGAATACGGCATAACAACAATCTACATAACATTTCTTAAAATCACCAAAGTGACAGCAGTGACATCAGCGGGTTGTATTGCCACAGAATGAGGACACAGCAGCAGGGTTACAATAGGCTTCATCAGGCGGGCCCTCGCAGCAGCAGCAGCAGACAGAGCGTGCAGCACATACCACAGAGACGGTGGGATTAGTAAAACAGTCACATCTCGGTGACCTTTCAAACATTTCTATTGATTCGTCCGACTGTCTCCTTGTGCTTTATGTTCATTCCTCACTGGGTCAAAAGAACAGCACATCCAGTGTTCTTTAACTGCCTTTGGGAACACACTTCAGCACAAAAATACCACAACACTTCAGATACACACAATCACAAACTGGATATTAGCATTTAGCATCACGCAGGTCTGTTAGCATCAGCACCGGTCCTCATACACAGACCTGAGGCTGCGTTTGGACTGAACACAGACTGTAAACAGATGGACTGAGGCTGTAGATCCAGGACTGAGGCTGTAGACCCAGGACTGAGGCTGTAGATCCAGGACTGAGGCTGTAGACCCAGGACTGAGGCTGTAGATCCAGGACTGAGGCTGTAGATCCAGGACTGAGGCTGTAGACCCAGGACTGAGGCTGTGGATCCAGGACTGAGGCTGTGGATCCAGGACTGAGGCTGTAGATCCAGGACTGAGGCTGTGGATCCAGGACTGAGGCTGTAGACCCAGGACTGAGGCTGTAGACCCAGGACTGAGGCTGTGGATCCAGGACTGAGGCTGTGGATCCAGGACTGAGGCTGTGGATCCAGGACTGAGGCTGTAGACCCAGGACTGAGGCTGTAGACCCAGGACTGAGGCTGTGGATCCAGGACTGAGGCTGTGGATCCAGGACTGAGGCTGACAGTAGCTCAGTTGGTAGAGCATTGGCCTTTGAGCCAGAAGGTTGTGGGTTCGAGCCCGACTTTCACCATCGACTCCCACTGTCTGCTGTTGTTGTGTCCTTAGGCAAGACACTTTACCCACATTGCCTAGAATGAGTCTGATGTGTGTGTGAATGGGGCCGATGGCACAGACTGGTTGCCTCGCTGCTGTCAGTGTGCCCCAGGGCAGCCGTGGCTACAGTAGTAGTTCATCACCACTGTGTTTGGAGAGTAAGAATAATCATGTGAAGTGTCTTTGAGTGTCTAAAAAAGCACTCTATAAAACCGATGCATTATTATTATTATTATTATTATTATTATTATAGAAAGTAATCAGAGCAGTTTGAAACGACACCACCAACACCTGCATTAGAGTCATATTCCAAACCCGTGGACTGATTGAAGAGAATCCAAACAGAGTGTCGTGTGAGGGGGTAGCGCCGCCACCGCTCGGTCTTATCGCGCTGTCACTCCCCGCGAGCTCGGACATACAAGCCGCAGATTAAATCAGCGCATAATGGAAGCCGCTCCTGGAGTCGGATCGCAGTCCGACAAGTGCTCACAAATTACAGGTTTGGACAAAGATATCGCTGCTATCAATCCTTTCCATCCTCCGCCCTCCGAAACGACTCAATGCAAACCACAAAACGCCTTGAGAGAGAAACACGGCAGCTTTTGTGGCCTGCGTCTCTTAATATCCGTCGTCGGAGAGACACGGGAGCGATGCAAGATTTTTGTAGAGGAGCAAAAACAACTTGACATTTGGCGAAGGCGGTAAAGCATGCGGCGCTGGAGGTGAACGGGGAGCGCGGGTAATGACGGAGCCCGGGCGCGGCAAAGCTTTTAGCGTCTGTGGGGGACGGCACCACGGCACCAGCAGCACGGGGCCTTCTGCGAGCGGGACTTTGGAAAACTCTCTCAGGTCAGAGCAGAGACTGAGGTGTTACTCTGACAATGGTGCTGCTACTACACTGGGAAGAAGAGGGTAAAGTGTGAGGTAATATTTGCTTTAAACAAGTGGATTTGATCTTAGTTTGAGTAATAATAATGTTATAATAATAATAATAATAATATTTTGAACCATCAGAATTTCAGAATAAATAAAAAACCTGAATAGTAATTAGTAGTAATATAAAATTATACGGAAGGGAATGGTAGTTGGATTTCTGTGCCGCTTCAATGTCTGCTATAACCTCATTTAACATAGGAGAATATAGTTTTTTATATTTTTAAAATACATGTCCTTCTTCATTTCATTAAAAACAAGACACTGTTGCTTTTCCTTTTGGCAAATCTTGTTTTAAGGCTCGATTAAAAGTCACACATTTTAGCCAAATTTGAGCAATTTTTGACTTGTTTTCATATGTTTTTGCAGTGTATGGACTGTATCTACTGTAGATCAGGGGTCTCAAACTCCAAGTATCTGGGGGCCGCATGAGGTGGAGTCTGGGTGAAGCTGCGCCGCGTTAGGGGTTTTGTTTATCACGTGTTTGTGCGTGTGCAACATAAAGGAACAGTAGAAAAAGTAAAAGTTTGGGCTCGAAACAGAAACAAAAACCAAGAATCAAGCGTTTAAGTTGGAAGTTTTATAGTTCATTGTTCGTTTCTGTGACTTTTTATAACCAGGTGTTTGGACTAAAAAATTACTTATAAAATTAGTTTGATGTAATTTTACATAATTCTATGAACATAATGAGTCCAGCTGCTGGGATTGAAACTAAACTGGACAAAAAGCAATGAGGCTTTGTTATTAGACTGGGTTTGAGACAGTTTTTCTCAGTGTCTTTGGTGCATTTCTCACTCTTCACATTTGCACAACTGTTGGTGCATTTCTCAGAACAATTAGTGCAAACTGCAAAACCTGGTGGAAACCTGCAAAAGTGCATCACTTTCTCAAAAAGAAAAGTTAATTCATCAAAAGCATCTCGGTGACACTTGGTGAGCTCTATACACTGTAAAAACTACAGTGAAGTTACACATGACTGTATTTAGTAACTGAGTACAAGACATGTATGTGTGTATGTGTGTATGTACCCACTAAGCATGTTTGTTTTGCACATGGACAATATGAGCCCTGAAATCTACTTACCCTGTGTTACTCTACACGTGTTTCTGAGGAGGCGTTTCCCCTTGTTCCCCTTGTCCTTCATCTTGGAAAGGGTCATCAGTGAGTTGCTGAACAATCTGAGAAAATGATATTTCCTAAGACAATACACCAAATAATGGTTTATTCTAAAAACAAAGTAATACAGAAGAACAATCAATGTGTGTGTGTGATTCTTACCTTTGAACACCTCCAACACAGTTCTGATTAGAGATGCACCGATCCAGCTCTTTTACTACGATACAGATTCCGATACTGATATTTACCAATACCAAAAATGATCACACTAAAATGTATTAAATAATTTAACTCTTTGTTATTCAAGTAACTGCAAAAGCAGTGGATGAACTAAAGCGCTAAACTTTCCAGATAAAAATTGATTCAACATAAATGTGCAATACTGCAACTATAAAGATCTTCCCAATGTTCACGTGAAACTTTCCAACACTGTATTGTACCTTATATGATCATTGAATATTAATGCACTAATATTTAATGTGTTTAAATAAAAAAATCACTTACAACAAACAAACACGCTGCATGAAAATGTAAATAAGTTATAGCACAGATATGTTATTGTGCGACGGCATGATGTACCTGGGTTCCAAATGGTCGATGGCGGCTGCGAGCCCCAGACTGATGAACTCCAACAGCTTTCAGTGACGTGTCTGTGTCTCGTGGTTTTCACGTCATCTCCTTTCGCTGCAAAAACTCCCCATGCCGTTTCTCGTGGTGCTTGTTGTATTTGGCTAGTTCATTGCCGCCTCTCGAAACCTCACATTTGCATATGAGGCATGAGGTTGTCTGACTCGAAGGTAGAGTAAAAAACGCCGCATGAACAACGCTGATTCTTTCCTGCGCTCCATACTTGGTCGTGTTGTTGTTGCAGAGCGTCACGAGGAAGTGACGCGTGAGATCTGATAAATGACTTTATTTTATGCACAATGTATTTTAAGACATTGTGCTGTACCTGTTAAGTTTGTATAAAATAAATAAATAAAATGGATTGGCTGCACGGCGCAGCTCTCTACGTATTCGATCCAGTATTTTTTCTGGTATCGGCGCCGATGTTGATACCAGTATCGGATCGGTGCATCCCTAGTTCTGATGATACTTGTAAGACTCAAACACATATGAAACATTATGAATACACACAGAACATTAGTAATTGAAAGTATTTTTAAATTTTACTCATGGATTTCACAATAATTGACTGCATTAGCAAAGGTAAATGTATTTTAACATATGGCTGGTTTTAAAGTTAGAAATTGAAGAGTTGCAAGCGCTAGTTATCTAGCTACCAGCAGATGAAAGGGAATGTTTAATATTTGCCAGCTAACAATAACAAAAATAACTGTAGTGGCTCATTTAAACAGCCACAGTGAGAAGAAGTGAGAGTCTCTGACATTGAAGACCTGGGAAGACATTCAGTCCATTTATTAAACAAAGCAATACATGAACATTACAATCTCTTTCTGCAGCAGGTAGAACATCTGTGTGCTCCCATGGTCCCACAGTCTCTGGTCCCACAGTCTATGGTCCCACAGTCTATGGTCCCACAGTCTATGGTCCCACAGTCTATGGTCCCACAGTCTATGGTCCCACAGTCTATGGTCCCACAGTCTCTGGTCCCCCAGTCTATGGTCCCACAGTCTATGGTCCCACAGTCTCTGGTCCCACAGTCTATGGTCCCACAGTCTATGGTCCCACAGTCTATGGTCCCACAGTCTCTGGTCCCACAGTCTCTGGTCCCACAGTCTATGGTCCAACAGTCTCTGGTCCCACAGTCTATGGTCCCACAATCTATGGTCCCACAGTCTCTGGTCCCCCAGTCTATGGTCCCACAGTCTATGGTCCCACAGTCTATAGTCCCACAATCTATGGTCCCACAGTCTCTGGTCCCCCAGTCTATGGTCCCACAGTCTATGGTCCCACAGTCTATGGTCCCACAGTCTATGGTCCCACAGTCTCTGGTCCCCCAGTCTATGGTCCCACAGTCTATGGTCCCACAGTCTCTGGTCCCACAGTCTCTGGTCCCCCAGTCTATGGTCCCACAGTCTATGGTCCCACAGTCTCTGGTCCCACAGTCTATGGTCCCACAGTCTATGGTCCCACAGTCTCTGGTCTCAACTCCAACTGATGACATCACAGGTGTCTAAATAATGGGAAACTATTTCATGTTTTAAACTTTAACTTAAACACTTTTATTCAACTATTTTTGGCTCTCACGACAACCCAATTGAGCACATGGGGTTCTAGCTCTGAAAAGCGTTGTCTAGTTGGCAAAGGTGTCTCTCTTTCAGCTGACCAGGGCCAGCCGTTATTATCATAGATCCATGGTGTCAACAACGCATTATGACAACACTGGCAATTCAAAATACGGATAATATACAAAATATACTACTACCATGTATACATGAGAAAACTGCTTACTTTCTGTCTCCAACTCTTTTTGATGTGGAAATTATATAAATGTATATCTAAAAACTGTGCAGACTGTTTATTTACTAAAGAGAGTGAATAGAAGTAAATAAAGCAGGTACAGAGGAAGAATGGACTGAGCGATCAGAAACTGACTGAAAGTTTGAACGTCCCCCCACTGAAAGATCTCAGCTCCTGTGGACTCACCCCCTGCAGGAGGATCAGTGAGGGGCTGGTGCTATGTGTACTGGTGCAGCTCTGACTGCCACCCCCCGACCCAGCAATGGATTAAGGGGAAGAAAATGGATGGATGGAGTTTGAACGTCATATCAACGTCTCCCATAGAATGCCTCTTGTGAAGTTTTTGTCATTTGAATATGTGTCTTTTAAAATACAACAAAAACAATCTCCTCCAATACTCTTCATTGTCCTATACAAGCCACCGCAGTCATGTCACAGTTTTATTGATAATTTTACCGAGTTGCTTTCAGCTGTATGCACAGATTTTGATAGTTTGGTTTTTACAGGTGATTTTAATATTCATGTGGATAATGTTAATGACAGAAATGCAAAAGAGCTGAGTTCTGTTCTTGAATCTTTTGGTCTCACTCAGCATGTGAGTGGCCCCACCCACAGCAGAGGGCACACTCTAGACCTGTTAGTTACTAAGAGGGTGAATATTTCAAATGTAAACATGGTCGATGTTGCTCTTTTGGATCATTTCTGTGTTTTTTTGTACATGTGTTTCTCTAACAAACCACCAGTGGACTCTGCAACCGTTCGAAGAAGACACATTCCCATAAATAGTTCAAAATACGAGTGAACTATTTATGGGAATGATAAACTTTGAGACTGAATTGTGCTTGACTGTAGATTAACTGTTTAACCCTGTCACCTCTAGTGTTTTGAATGTTCTGGATACCGTTGCTCCTGTCAGAATCAGAATCCGAATCAGAATAATTTTTATTGCCACGTAAGTAACAGGAAGTCACAGACTTGGAAATTGCTTTGGCTCAGTGCAACAGTCAGAGAGAGATAATACAAAAAAAAAGAATAACAACACTTCTAAGGAATACATTTAAATTTACAATAGAGTACAGTTACTATTTACAATATACAAGTGCACATGGTGCACACAATGTAAGGTGACAGCAGTACAGTGAAGTAAAGTGACGTATGATGGGCAGTAAAGTGACTTTATAAAGGGCGGGGGGACAGGTTAAGAAGTGTTCAAGAGTCCAACAGCAGAGGGGAAGAAACTGTTCTTGTGGCGGGAGGTTCTAGTCCTGATGGACCGCAGTCTCCTGCCTGAGGGGAGTGGTTGGAATAGTCCATGTGCAGGGTGAGAGGGGTCGGCTGTGATACGACCAGCCCGGCCTCGAGCTCGGATGGACTCG